AGGCCCTTCCCATTTAGCTCTATCTAGCAGTGCATTTGAATATACACGCGTAAAGATGCTGGTTCAAAGTATAGAAGCAGGCTCAAAATTGAAAGAATTGAACATACATTACCTAAGATATATTCTATTATATTGAAAATAGTCAAATCAGACATGAAATTTGGCACCTATATATTGGATCTCCCCACTGTGTAATCCATTGTCTATCTTCAGCAGAAAATCTTGCACTGGTTCAGTTTTTTTTTGTCAGAAAGAAATCTAAATACTCATGAAATTAACCTATACTAAAAAGGACTAAAATTCACTCCCACTCCTTACGATTGACTAAGGAAGAAGACACCGTGAAGAGTTCTGCCTGAAATCACGTTTCATATTCAAAGAATACAAGATGAATCCTTTTGTTCCAAACAAGAAAAGTCTAATCACGTAATAGAGATAAAAAATGAACGATATATATAACTTAGTCGGGTATATATGTATATCCGACTTTAGGTAAATCTTTTATTCTTTTTATGCTGACTGCCATAAGAAATCGGATGAAAAATCGTGCTGAAAAATTAATATCCCCACTTAACATATGATAGCAGTCATACCGATAATGGAGGGAGTTACTTTAAGTCAAAACTCGCAATTTTTATGGATTACATATAAAATACACATTCAAAACTATATATACCGGTATGTGAATGATAAAAACCAAACATACATATAAATACCCAAACCCGGCAATCTAAAACTACGCTTTATGTATTGCTTGAAGTTTCTGTAGCACTTATTATATATTCATCATACTTTTAGTCTTTATATTCTTGAATCATTGTGAAAATGCTATAGCTACATCACAGATAGTGTGGATATAAAAAAAAACACTTAATACAAGAGAGAGTAAAATGCGAATTATTATTAGTTTTTGCTTTGGCAAGTCTTATTTTACAAATATTCCTCATAGTCTGAGAATAGAAGTTGTGCGATATTTTATGTGTGCGATTGTCAATTGTCCAAATGTCGGAAATTTTTGTTTACACTATTATATATATATCATATATAAAATATTATGATTCATCGGTTTGTGGGCTGTGGAAAATTGTACTTTTTTTTATATTTTATCGGATTTATTTCTTGTTTCAGTATTTCTCAATTCTACAATGGGAAAAGTTTTGACGTTTGTTAAAGATGTCGGAATTGTTTTGTAGATAAATTTTTAGTTCCTGCAGCCTTTCGTCCCGGAGGTGTGGGATGTTAAGTGTGGTATACGGATTGTTAGAACGCGGAAGATCCCAATATTGATGCGTGTCAATGTCCTTGTAGTACAACTAGTAATTTTCATCTTCCCTATTAAAGAGGATATATACTGAGGTCTGGTATTAATGATTTTCATTGTGAATTTTAGATTCGTAGAGATTATATTTAAATCGTGGATCGTTCAATATCGGATTTCTATTTTGTTCAAAATATGAAACAATCGTCCAGATATATATCTTTTCCAGTTTTTTGTCATGTAATTTCCAAGGTTCATATATATATGTAAAATTCAAGCACTTCGTCTCTTAAAACCGTATTTTTGTCCACACTAGTTAACTATATGTAATTCCTAAAACTTAACTCAGAATACAGCCACTTTAAATGATATACAGTTAGAAATGCGGATGTGACATGTAACATGATAAACTTTAATTTACTTTAATATACAAAACAAATTAGATTTAACACTATTTTACGAGCTACTTATCCTGCCTGGTCAAGATCATATTATGATGGAAGGTATTTACAAATATTTAATAATTTATTATTTTCGTAGTTTCATCTTTTATATGCAATATGAAACGCTCATGGTATGGTTTAAAATATCTAAGAAGGAATTTAGTAATACATACACATGTACTTGTAGCAATATTGATTAAACAGAATGATGCATCACATGACGGATTCTCTACATTTATATATATATTTAGTAATTAATGAAATTAGTTAATATAAGTATGATAGACCATACCGGGTAAATCTGGTCACAGTTTAAAAAATATGTATGTTACAGTAGAAATTAGAATTCAGTAGGATAAGGAATTATCATAGTACAAATTGGAATTCAGCAGGGTGGGAATTATCCTTGTACAAATTGGAATTCTGATTCATACAAATTAAAGTCCAATACAAATCAGAATTCCAATATCTTCTATAGCAGACATTGAGATATCCAGATTTGTACTAGGAGGATTCTAGATTGTACTAGATGATTACCCAATAAGACATAATGATACCAATTTTGATTTACTTCATAATGATTTATAAATGTTGGTTGTTTAACCAGGACGTATGCAACCAACAATCAATTAATCTTGACTACAACAAACATTTTATTGGAAGTTTTTCTGTAATATTTTTTTTTACAGATACAAATTAAATTCGTTTATGTTATTAATGTCCTTCGATACATAATTAGACAAAAAACATGTGAAATTTTTAATATTGTTTTAAAAGCAATATATAGCTCTGAATAACATTTTGATTCTAAGGAAAAATATAAAATTATTGATCTTTGTTTTAATATAAAAATGTGGAGATGTGGTATGACTGCTAATGAGACAACTATCCACCAGTTAAAATGAAGTGGTAGTAAGCAATTTTAGGCCACTTTACGGCCTTCAACAATGAGAAAACCCCATCCCTTTTCGGCTATAAAAGGTCCCTTCATGAAAAATGTGAAACAATTCAAACCAGAAAACTAAGACCTAATTTATAACAAAAAGCAATGTACGAAAAACAAATATGACAACCACTGAACTACAGGCTTCTGACCTGGGGACAGGCACATGCAGAATGTGGCGGGGTTAATATAAAGAAGAGGATGTGGTATGATTGCCAATGAGACAACTCTTCACAAGAGACCAAATGACACAGAAATTAACAAATATAGGTCACCGTACGGCCTTCAACAATGAACAAAGCCCAAACCGCATAGTCAGCTATAAAAGGCCCCGAAAAGACAAAAACCATAGAAGGGGGGCAGGATAAAAATACAGTAAAAAACATGTTTTTGGGCGCTCAACCCTCTCTCTAACCTGGGACAGTTGTTTAACAGCACAAAATAAGAACATATATATATAAGAACCTATATAGTTTTAAGTAATATCCTGAATCCTAATAGAAATTTTGTACAATCCAGAATCCTCCTAGTACAAATATAATTATCTTAATTACTACCAGTAGATATTGGAATTCTAATTTGTACTGCATGGATTTTAATTATATAGTATAAATCAGAATTACAACTTCTTCTATAGTAGATATTGGAGTTTCAGTTTGTACTGGGAGGGTCCTGGATCCTACTGGATTCCAACTTGTACTGTAACATATATATATATTGACTACGAAGAGAACACTGATTCTTTTGTATGCTTGCAGTGAGCTCATCTTTGGAAAATAAAATCCGCCCTATCCTTCCAAAAAGTAAATAACAATCTGTACTAAGTACCATTTTTTAAAACGAACAGAAAGAAATATAACGTTACACATTCTAATTTTAGAATTATTCCAGAAGCATTGGGCAATAATATGTGTTACATGACTTTCTTTTCGATGAGACTGGATATCATGTTGAGAGACACACCAAGATCAAATGCAAAATCGTGTAACCGCATCAATACTTTATATTTACAGTTCTTTATAATTATGTTCAGCATTAGCATGGTAATCGGCAAAAGCTTTGATAAATAAACATATTTTCCTCTTTTTATGACTGAAAAAAAAAGAACATTTGAAATATAAATTCAACTAGCCCTTTTCATGGGCCTCTTATAAAATGGTTGTTGCTGAAGTCTTGACCCTTAGACGTAGATATATAGATAGTTTAATTCAAATCAGTCATGCTAAATAGTCATTGCATTTCTAGTCAAAACTGTAACGTTGTGGTTTACTTTTTAAATAGGATTGGACAAACATAAGACAAAGGTCATATATATACAACCGTTTAGAAATATACCACTATAGACGCTACTTGTAAAGTTTTTGATTTCCATTTAAACCAGTACTATTTCACTGACTGAAAATCATTGTAGTTGTTGGAAAGGCAAATACTAATTGATTAGTCGGAACGAAATAAAATAAGCCAAAGGTGTATTTGACTGACGTGAATGAGACCAAAGAATAACATAGATCACGTAGATGTTTTTCCTGGAGAAAATATTGAATTTTGTGTAAAACAAGAATGTGTCCATAGTACACGGATGCCCCACTCTCACTATGATCATTTTCTATGTTCAGTGGATCGTGAAATTGGGGTCAAAACTCTAATTTGGCATAACAATTAAAAAGATCATATCATAGGGAACATGTGTACTAAGTTTCAAGTTGATTGGACTTCAACTTCATCAAAAACTACCTTGACCAAAAACTTTAATCTGAACGGCGGGACAGACGGACGAACGGACGGACGGTCGAACGAACGGACACACAGACCGAAAAACATAATGCTCCTTTACTATCGTATAGGTGGGGCATAAAAACCAGGCTCTCTCATAATGACATGGACATTTGTAGATTTTAAACCAGTCGCATTAATCTTTTCAGCTGGTGCCTCGACGAGGGGTTTCCTTCATTTCTGCATTCGTTAATTTTTAAGTCATTTTTCACTATTCTGTATATTTTTTACCCATTATTCTCTTCTTTTTTTTTATATTTTAACACCTTCTGTAATTTTTTGGCCTATATTTCTCTATTCTTAATTTTTTTGCACTTTTTCTGCACTTTTTGCACACTATTTTCTATCTGGTATTAAACCACATCCAGACCCTCGTACAACACGGTACAGTAATTTTTCATTATTCTATTCTATATTCTATTCTATTCTATCAAATAAATAAGATTTATTTAGAGTCGGCTTGGTCCAAAACAAAGGATATAAAATATGCTCTATTGAACGTTTGAAGCATGAAAGCATACAAGGGAGACAATTTCCCCGCGGTTTTATGGGTTTCCGAAAGAATATGGATAAGTGCCGGTGTATTCCGATAAAGGAAGTCGGGGAGGGGAATTCCCGATAAACTTTCCTAGCCAAATCTCCTACAAACTTTCCAAATGAGGAGGAAATTCGTTGTAAACATGGTAAATAAGGGTCGAAATGCTGTATACAAAAAGTCTATGTCTTCTACATAATTACAAGTAGTCATAATTTCAAAGTAAACTGCTTATGTTCAACACACATGATAACCATTTTCGAGGTATCAGTGGGGGACTCGTTAATCGAATAAATAAAGGTTTTTCCTGAAATTTGCTTTCATTTTTTAACGTTTTCCGTGAATGATTTCCTTGTGTTTACAGAAAAAAAGTCACAAGATTGTAAATCAGGTGGGTTATTCGGTCATAGAACAAAACCAATCACATTTTTATTCTCCACCCTGTCAAACACCTAAAATTCACAAGATTCATCATTGTTAAGCTATGCACTCCTCTGTATTAAACCCACCACTTGATATGTGTCAATTTTTTAAAACTGTTGATGTGGCAAAAAGTTACAAAAGGTAACCAATATTTCATAAAAATAACATGTTAACATGGTAATTAATAAAATAATTTTGTGTTATATCATTCATGTCATTGGAATTTTTGAATTAATATCAATGTATATAGAGTGGAGTAGTCCCTGTTCAAGTTTGAGTATAAATTTTCATACAACATACCTGTGTTACTTGTGTTGTTGTCCAGGGTCGTGTTCTTTTATTATGGGTTTCTTGTACAATGTTATATATATTACATGATTGTGACAAAGTTACCTATATCAGGGTCCATTCAGGGACTCTTTACACTAAACATTGTTTTCCCAATAATATTAACCATTCAAAAAGATTATTGTTTCCTTTCCTTTAGTGTGGATTTTAGTTTTTCTGTGAAATTTATACATGTTTGTAGGAAATTAGTTATTTGTTTACAAATTTCTAGGCTCACCAAGTGAGAGCCAATTTAAGGTCTTTGATAGGGTATCATGGGTATAGTTCTTACTTTTTGTAAATTTATCCTAATGTATGAATGTTTTAGTTGGAAATGTCATTTGATGTTTTAAGTGGCATTTGCATTGTTTCAACTACAAAACACACCATTCGGTATTATTAACAAAATGATTTTGTTCATATAAAAATAAACGTGATGTGGTACTGGTATGAATGCCATTGAGAACTTAATCGACCAAAGACAAAAGAACAAATAATGTAAAAAATCACAGATCATCATACAGCCTTGATCTTAGTTTACTATGAGGAACCCAAGGGTGACTAGGGGATAGAAAAAAGGTAATTTTGGTCTTCTTCCAATCAGAAATAAAACTGACAAAGTGGTGCTTCTGTTTGGTTGTAAGGGATGTATCAGTATAAGAAAATTATATCTAATTCCTCCCGGGTGCACTAGGTTTGGGTGTTACCTAACAATTATGGGTTCCATCTGTTCCAATTCCAGCAGACATATATTATTCAAAATGGAAGTTAGGGTTACCACTACAGCTGCACTGGCAGTTATTGATGATGAAAAATATAAAAATAAAAATTTTGCAAAGGCATTATTCTTATTTTTTCGTTGCTCACAAAATTTTTGAGTTTCATACTGTTAACCATGGAATACAGTGTGTCAAGACTAATTACACCTGCCTTCACTTTTGCGTTGGCTGCATCGATTGTTTAAAACAATGCATGACATTAATGACATTTATAATGTCAAAATAAAAATTTCTGACTTCATTAAACCAAAATGACATCTGACAGCTATTATAAAGTGTTTGTCTGAAAGAAAAATAGAGTTTTAATGCATATTTCCTTAAAATATACTTATATGCTCAAATACACTGATACATGTATATATATTCAACCAATGATTTGTATAGTCTTACTATACATGTACAAATCCTTGCTTGAACTGATTATCAATTTGCAGTTTTCAGTTCACTGTTAGCTAAAGATAATTGTATCTTTACTCTTCAGTTCCCTTCTCTGCCATTTTGAATTCTGTTTACACCTATTTTTTTGCGCAAATAGAAATGTTCAGAATGCAATTTTGTCTTGTTTCATTGAACTTCCAGTTTACTCGGTGCATTCCAATCCTCTGGAACTCGCCAATCAAGCACCACCATGTAGAAAGAGTGCCAGACTGTCTGCACCTTAAAAATCCTTCAAACAAATTATTGGGTGGTCTGTAGGTGGCCTGATGAAGGCTGTACATTGACCTTTAATTGCTTATATCTTCGTAAGTTTAACTCCGGTATATAGCTATCAGAAATTAGGACTAAGGTGTTGATGACCTACATTAAGTGAAGTGAACAACACTAGTACTCAATCTGTCTACTAAGTGGAAAACCATATCATAAACAAAATGTGAAAAAAATCAAAAGAGAAAACAGCTTGATTTAAGCTAATGACATATGATTAAAAAAAAAAAGATTATAACAGACAGCAAACAAGTACAACCACTGAATAACTGGCATATAAAGAATCGAGTGACATTAAACATGTTTGTGATCAGGGCTCGACAATAACGCTTGTCCGATTGTCCGGTACCAGAGGAAAAAAGGGTCGGACAAGTAAAAGTCATATCAAGTTTGTCCGATGGGACAAGTAAAAATCATTCTGTTTGAAAATAAATTAAATCCAACTTTGATGATCAACATTGATCAAAGTAATTTAAAAAAAGAACAAGAAAAGAAGATATTTGTTTGACATGTTTACTTGCGATCGATAATTTAAAACTGGTTCTTTGTCAGATACTCTATAACAGATAAAACGCATACTATTCTCAGAAACCCGTTTTACCGAATGTGGCTTTGTAGATAAGGTAACAAGACAGTTGGGCACCGTCACGGAAACGAATCGGCTCCATGTTTAATAGACAGTTCGGCACGGTTGGAGACATTTCGGGACCAAGACAAACCAGTACCTCGTTTTCCTACTTATTCGGTTGCTTTATGATAAATATATGATAAATTTTTTGATCATAAAATTTATAAAATCATATTTGATCATATTTAGACAAAACAATATTTGATTGTGTTTGAATAAACATTTTAATATATTAAAAACAAAACTGATTGTAGTAAGGCATTAATCATAATAATCAATATTTTATCAACTCAAAAGACCAGGATACAAACCAAATGAGTGTAGACTGACAGGCCTAACAGACTGTACCTGATGTGCAGAGTCTGATGAGACTTTGGCATTGATGAAAAATAGAACCCAAGTCCTGTGACTAGACTTGACTAGATTCAGTTTTTCTGGATTCATATTTTTGAAAAAGGATACCAAGAGATATAAATCAAATTCTGTTCTATTGTTTTAATTCATTTTGTTCATTAAATCAACCTAAAATGCAAAAAAGGTTAATATAAAGGTTTATTTTTGGACAAGTTATAATTCCATTCGGACAAGTAAGTTTTGGTATGTACTTGTCCTATTGGGCAAGTTGAAAAAAAAGTTATTGTAGAGGCCTGGTGATCTGATGTTCAGTAGTTGTCTGGATTTTAGTTAAATATAGTAGGAATCTGATGTTCAGTAGTTGTCGTTTGTTGATGTGGTTCATAAGTGTTTCACGTTTCTCATTTTTTATATAGATTTGATCGTTGAATGATTTTACACTAGTCATTTTTGGGGCCTTTTATAGCTTACTGTTCGGTGTGAGCCAAGGCTCTGTGTTGAAGACCGTACTTTGACCTATAATGGTTTACCTTTACAAATTGTGACTTGGATGGAGAGTTATCTCATTGGCACTCATACCACATCTTCTTATATCTATTATGAATGATAAACTGTCTTCATAACCTCAAACAGCTAGTGTAACAGTACATTAGTACAAACAGTAAAACGCAGTCGTAAAAGCCTTATCTCACCAGATTACTTGTAATTTAAGATCATAAAAAACTATAAAAAAAACTACACAAACTATATATACATTATTATTTGGGGAATATGTCAATGAGCATGATGAGACGGTAACCAAACAACAAAATTACAAAGATACATTTACATGAAGAGGGCAACATAAAGTCTTCAACAATAGACAGGTGTCTGTATGATTTGCCAAGATCTTAATTTTTTGAGTCCATTAAAGTGAATAACAGAAACTATGAAAAAAAATGAAAACACATTACAAATTTCATGCGTCCGAAGATGTGTCATCAAAGCCTAGATGTACAATGTTATTTAGATGTGTGTCATCAAAGCCTAGATGTACAATGTTATTTAGATGTGTGTCATCAAAGCCTAGATGTACAATGTTATTTAGGTGTGTGTCATCAAAGCCTAGATGTACAATGTTATTTAGATGTGTGTCATCAAAGCCTAGATGTACAATGTTACTGTAAATTCAGAAATTATTGCGATGTTTTTATTATTGCGAAAAATGCGACAGGGTTATAATCGCAATAATTTAAACTCGCATTTTGATATTTTTTATATGAATTAAACAGGATTTTTCTCAATATCGCAAAAATTCAAATCGCATTTTAGTCTAAAATGACAAAATCGCAATAATAAATGCACGCAATAATTTCTGAATTTACAGTATTTAGATGTGTGTCATCAAAGCCTAGATGTACAATGTTATTTAGAGCCTAGATGTACAATGTTATTTAGAGCCTAGATGTACAGTGTTATTTAGAGCCTAGACGTACAATGTTATTTAGAGCCTAGATGTACAATGTTATTTAGAGCCTAGATGTACAGTGTTATTTAGAGCCTAGTTGTACAATGTTATTTAGATGTTATTAGTGAGAACTAGGGCTGTTCCTTTGAGGTTTGTGTGTTTTTTGCTGTGCATGTACTGATTTTGTGTCATGGATGGATATCCATATCCTTTGTTTAAAATTCTATCATTGCAATATATGTCAAGATTTCATTCTCTTAGTACATGTAGTATACAAAAGCAAAGATCTTCCAAACACAGTGGCTGATTTAGGGAGGGTGGGTAGCTATATATATATAGTGTACACATCCTCCTTTTCATCAGGAAAAAACATCATTTGTGTAAAAAATATATTTTACCTTCCCTACTCCCAGCAGTATTACAACGAGCTGATTACAATTATTACAGAATCTTTCGCCCCTCTTTTCATTAAACTGTGGGTTTACTTTTGATAAACATTAACAGAAAAATCAAAATAAGATATACTATGTAGTTTAAGGCAGGCTCCGACAATGTTCAGGGCACATGCCAATGAACCAGACTTGAATTAGTTCTTAGGTTTTTGATTTGATTGTAATCTCCAATCAGAAGTGGTGTTACATGTGATTTGTGTCCACCATGGACTTGATTGTAAATCTCCAATCAGAAGTGGTGTTACATGTCATATTACATTATAATTTTTATCTTCATATTTATCTTCCCAAGTTGAATAACAAAAGGTTAATAGAAGAATGTTCAATAAAAATCAGTTCAGAAAAGGGACTTAACTCTGTCAAGTCTATGATAAAAGTATAGTAGACAACAAAAACAACACAGAATCAAGTAAAGCTATGTTTTACAGCTTGATGTATACACCTTGTATGCTGTATTGAAAAACAATAGAATTCACCTCAAATCTGCCAGTAGGCATTTATTGTACAATTGATTGGTCTATGAACAAAATCAGCTTAGTTTGAATATTTAAGATGATATGAGCAAATGTTTGCTCAGTAATAAAAATATGACACCAAAAAATACTAGGGGAAAACATCAAATTCATAATGTTGATAATCAGTCATACAAAATCATAAATGTTTAGCTAACCTGGAATGAAGGGCAACTATGACAGTTCGACATCACTTAGAAACAATAAAAATGTTTGTCACTTCAAATTTGTATTGGAAAGAAAGTAAGAATTTTCTAGTGATGATTAATTACATGTTCTTATATTTTACAGTGATTTCAGGAAAAAGATAAAATGTTGGAGGGTGTTCAGTATTATCAGTGGTATCACTGACCTATAACCTTTCAGTATGGATCATCGAAGTCAAGCTGAAGAACTTTATAAACTCACCAGGTGTAACAGTTCTGAAGACAGTAATCAATTAACTACAGTAAAAGAGTATCTACGACATTTTGTCTGTAAATGTCAACCTTCACAGAAGTTCAAGGTCAAAGAGATTCCAAGTATCATTATGAAGAGTGCGAAACAAGCAAGTTTTATATCATCTAAGGCCAGTGAATCTTTTGAGAAGTTAGAGTATTATTTCAGTCTAGTGTCAAGTAACCCATGGAAGGCTGAATTCCACACAATTAAGGTAATTTGGGGTTAATATAATACTTCTTGTTAGTCGGGAAGGCCTTTATTGAATATTGAATTTGACATAAAAGGGTAGGAAGTATATATTGCTAAGACAGCAACGTTAACCCATCAATAGAGTAATTGGTAAAAAAGACATCTAGGGGTCAACATAGTATCAAGGCTTTTTCTGACCAAAATGGGAACTGTCATGTAGACTAAATTTACCATCTATCCCAAACTTAAACAACTGAGTACAGTAATAAAGATTAGGCAAATCTATGTAAATACTTACCAGAGAAAAGTTGGTCAGACAAACAAATTTTCAGCTTGAATGATAGTACAAATAAATATAATTTTGACTAATGTTATATTCTTTATTGAAAAAGCACTTAACGCCCATATGGGCCAATGGCTTACAAACATACATATGTAACAAACAAGGAAAATACTGTAAATTCAGAAATTATTGCGTGCATTTATTATTACGATTTTGGAAGAATTAACCAAAATGCGAGATTTATTATTGCGATTTCAGGAAAAGCTGAATACATCATATGTCTCAGATATCAGAATGCGAGTTCTTATTATTGCCATACTCACCCTGTCGCATTAATAAAAACCTCGCAATAATTTCTGAATTTACAGTAGACAATACACATATGCATCTTGCAATAATTATAATTATGCTAATATACATGTATGTAGTAATAACCTGATCAAGGTAGGCAGCAAACTAGCTTGAAATGATGACAAAAAGATAAACAATGAAAACTCAAATTTATGATATTTGTAAAGATGTTTACTTTCAATGTCCAATTCTGGATATGATACCACATGAGGCTAAACCAGGCTTACAGTTCAGAATCATCTGCATTTTATAAAAGGATAAATGGAGTTATTGCTCTTAAATGACAATTTTTTACCAATTTTGGAATATTTGCCTATTACCTTGAAACTTTAGAAGATAAGTACAAACTGTTCATGCCCTGGAATAGATTTTTAGAAGTTTTGGATATTATCTTGAAAACAGTAATATATCGAGAGAAAACTGAAAAGTTAAATTAAAACAAGCATATTGAGATCTACAAATAATTATTTCATTGGTCTTTGATATTTTGATAAATTCTAAGTGGAGGGCCATTTGTATCAAGGGTGTGATATATTCTGTTCGATTTAACTTGAATGCTTGTGAAAAAAATGTTTAGAAAAAATATTTTTGATTGTTAAAAAAATATCAAATTGCCATATTGTTATCAGGTGAGTGTGTTAAGCTCTTAGAAGCCTCATGTTTAACATGTGGTGTACATTTATTATTAAAAGTTAAAATTTCAGCTTGGCAGTAAATGTAATCATGGTAATAGTAAATCTTTCTGTGGATATGGTGAGGTAATATCTTTAGACTTCTTTGTTACATTCTATATATACATGTAGTATTTTGTTTTTATTCTTTTCAGAAATACAGTGGATTTTTTCAGACAAAGATAGCATCTCATCTTACTGGAGTTGAAGAATTGTTTAGAATTGCTGGATATAGTGAAAATCCTATAAAAAATGAGTTTAAATTAAGTAAGAATATTAACAAAGAATTGCTTTTAGCATTGGCATTTGAGTGTTTTATTGCTTCTGTAGAATGCATTATTATTCATGAACTGCAGATAAGAACTAAGTTCTCGATAAATGCAGCTGAAATAGCGGACTTACGAACAACATACTGTGGTGACGTTGAAGAAATGTATTCTGTTTTGAGAAAATCGTTTAACTTAAAAAAGGACGATTGCATTATTACATCACCAGATCATACAATAAAAAATATTGATTACGTTGATCAGTTGTCTCCAAGGCAACCACAAATGAGGACACAACATGGACAAGCACTTTCTGTTGTCGAGAGTGATGTTAGACCAGAAATACAAAATAGTGAATTTAAAGAAGGCACATTGGAAGATCATATGATGGCAAGTTTGCAATTAATTGAAGAAGAAAAAGAAGAAATGTCACAGACACCTAAACAACCTTCTGTTCGACCATCAGATGAATGGTCATTTGTAAATGAAGGCTTATTGAAAAAATACGGAGAAAAATACTTCAATGGACAAAGAGGAAACATCCTACAAACTCCTTCAAGTAAAGAGAGTCGACCTTATCGTGACTCTGGAATAGAATCTGGAGTTCCATCGGAATTACCATATGCGGACGTGGATACCATAAGGACTCGAAGTACTCGTGTTATTAAGGAAAAAAATCCACATAGTGCTGTTCATGCTCAGATTTCATGGCCAACTCATCCAGAACAATCACCCCTTCATCGACCACAGTATTCATGGCCACAGCACGAGCCTCCGGTACCACCGGTTCACAGACCACAATTTTCTTCTCCCTTTCCACAAGGACAACAACAAACAACGAAAGCAGAACTTTTAAGGGCCAGAAATAAATCCGTTAGTTCAGCTTTTGCACCTGATCAATGGCCGCCAAAAGAAAATATTAAGTCTGAAATCTTAGAACAGTCAACAGCTGATGACATTGTTGGAGTTATTCGACCCTCAAGGTCAATAACAAAGACGGACTTTGTTGGTGAGACCCCACAAAACCCTACTGCTGCACCTGTTTATTCACGCATATCCAAACCTGTTGTGAATGATAAGCTCTCATCCCCTGGGCATTGTCAACCATATGCTTTCAGTAGCCATTCTGCTCCTGTTGCACGTAGGGAGCCAGAAGAAAGAATACCATCATGTAGCCTGGGAGATGAAGAGACATGGATTTGTGATCACTGTACCATGAAAAACAATAGATATGTCAATACATGCTACATGTGTTCTAAAAGTAGGGATATCGTCAAATCTCCAGATGTACGATGGGGAAAGCAGTGTCCACGATGTACATTACTAAATAAAGCAGATTCGTATGCCTGCGAAGCGTGTGATAATAAACTCCCAGAAGCTTGTGATAATCCTGTGTAGCATTGTTCGTCAGGTACCTTTAATAGTTCAAATAGAAATTTAGTAATTGATAAACTAATCTTAAATATTTCGGAAAAACTAGACTACCTGATTATACAAATATTAACCTTTTTTGACAAAGTTAATAGATTTTATTAAAATTTCTCAGCCCTGTCATGATAATTTTTTAGTTTTATTTCGAAGTTATAAACAATTGAATTATATATTTTATTTTAGTGTGAATATTTTAGATGAGTAAATGCTTTATGTTAGGACTAGTCCATTAAATGATGCAAGTATAAACTATAACAATTATTGTCAGCTGTCACATGGGTTCCAATTAGTGTGGTTCCAAAGTCCAAGAGCTGTCTTTTCTGGGAGTTACTGTTTAATTTTGAATTGCAAAAGTCAAGGACTCTAATTTTTGTCGAGCCTTCGACTTTTGTCGAAAAAGCGAGACATAGCGATCCTACATTCCGTCGGCGTCGTCGTCGGCGGCGGCGGCCACAAATATTCACTCTGTGGTTAAAGTTTTTGAAATTTTAATAACTTTCTTAAACTATCCTGGATTTCTACCAAACTTGGACAGAAGCTTGTTTATGATCATAAGATAATATTCAAAAGTAAATTTTGTAAAAAAAAAATTCCCAATTTTTCCGTATTTTACTTATAAATGGACTTAGTTTTTCTGCCAAGAAACATAACATTCACTCTGTGGTTAAAGTTTTTGAAATTTTAATAACTTTCTTAAACTATCCTGGATTTCTACCAAACTTGGACAGAAGCTTGTTTATGATCATAAGATAATATTCAAAAGTAAATTTTGTAAAAAAAAAAATCCATTTTTTCCGTATTTTACTTATAAATGGACTTAGTTTTTCTGCCAAGAAACATTACATTCACTCTGTGGTTAAAGTTTTTGAAATTTTAATAACTTTCTTAAACTATCCTGGATTTCTACCAAACTTGGAAAGAAGCTTGTTTATGATCGAAAGATAGTATCCAGAAGTAAATTTTGTAAAAAAAAAATTCCATTTTTTCTGTATTTTACTTATAAATGGACTTAGTTTTTCTGCCATGAAACATTACATTCACTCTGTGGTTAAAGTTTTTGAAATTTTAATAACTTTCTTAAACTATCCTGGATTTCTACCAAACTTGGAAAGAACCTTGTTTATGATCAAAAGATAGTATCCAGAAGTAAATTTTGTAAAAAAGTAAAAAATAAATTCCATTTTTGCCGTATTTTACTTGTAAATGGACTTAGTTTTTCTTCCAGTTAACATTACATACAGTCTGCACTTTAAGTTTTTAAAACATTTATTAGATTGATAAACTATCCTGGATTTTTACCAAACTTGGACAGAAGCTACTTACAATCAAAAGATAGTATAGAGAGGAATATTTTTATTAATTTTTTTCCTCATTTTTGTTGAGCCTGCGATTAACAGCAAAAGTAGGCGAGACACTGGGTTCCGCGGAACCCTTACGAATTTTTTACACAGGACCTTTGACTTTTTCAAGGAGGACCTTTCACATGTTTCACTTGAAAATTCAAATGGCCCTTGACCGTTTCTTATTTAAAGCAAATTTGAACCCCTGCCCCTGATGGTATTCATTGCTGATTATAAAATGTATGATATCAATTACCATGCATACATCACATGTTCTAGAATGATATCAATTACCATGCATACGTCACATGTTCTAGAATGATATCAATTACCATGCATACGTCACATGTTCTGGAATGATATCAATTACCATGCATACGTCACATGTTCTGGAATGACCTTGATACCAAAAGTTTGGCGAGCCAAAAAATAACATGTTTTATAGCATAAGAACAACAGGGGCAGAGAACAGTCAAAACTGCAGAATATGAGATCTTACATTACCATACTAAACATGATGATGAGAAACCAGTTCGTCAATATGGTGTCTTATTTTTAGGCATGTTCTCCTTTGATAGTTTTATGTTTAGGTCCTTTTGGTATTGGAACTCTAAAACATATTGCGCTCCAAATCCTATTGTCTGATTGAAGGTTATTCTAGAAATGTGCTTTGTACAGTGAAATCTATATCACCTGTATAGCCATGTGAAAGTATAACGTGATAGATAGACAAACTGAAATCTATATCACCTGTATAGCCATGTGAAAGTATAACGTGATAGATAGACCAACTGAAATCTCCTGATACAAACACCTTCAATTATTGGTAGACATTATATGTCCATGTGTCATTTTTGTCAAAATGCCAGATTTAATGGATTAGTCCTCAAACTAGACTGAAATTTACACTTGTCCTACACTCATCAAACTTATGAATTCATGCTTATATTTATTAAAAGATTTATACACTATTTGTATACATGAATATCATGGCAAGTTTTTTTGCTTGCAGAAATGTTAGTTTTTTTTCAGTAATATTTTTAAGCAACTGTACATGTACTTATATGTTACTTTTTTTTATTAATCACAAAGGTTGTTTGTATTTATGCTAAAATTGTCATGGTTCATTGCATGTACTAGTAGAAACACAATGTATGAGATACCAACATTTTATATATTACAATTTTTTTTTCAACAAAAGACATAAACATGATAATAGGATGTTAAGTTCCTCTACTCAGATCCAAAAGTTTTGTAAAATTTGAAAATAATCTTGATTTTCTTATTACTTAGAATTGATAAAAAATGTCTAACAAATCAAGCATATTTATGACACAGATAGTAAGAAAAGATAGTTCATTATTATTCCATTTATAAACAGTGTTTTAGACAATAGAGCATTATGCTACAATACATAATGAACCAATACAAACTGAAAACACTCATTACACTGATGGTACATGTTGAATATTAAATACTTAAAAATATTTGTTCACAAAAATAGTGAAAACAGAATTTCCCATTCAGACTAAAAAATAATTCCTGCTTAAAAATAACATATATTATGTTGAATAGAACACAGACGTATTATCAAATGGTTAGCAGATCAAAAAATTTGTAATCAATGTTCTTTATTTTTTTCGTATTTCCTGTCTATTTGTATTACATTATTAATGAATTTATGTCGGTATCAATATTTCTTTGTTTTCTAGCAATGTGCAGTTGATTATCCATATCTGTTCGATATTTATGAAGGATTATCGTTATAATAAACGTATCAACCAGGAAGTTCCTGGATGACAGATTTATCTCCCATTTCGTCTATGTTGTTTAAAAATGACACGTTTGCCAGTTACGTTGCTTTCGCAGGGAAATTTGATTTTTTTTTTTACCTGAATGAAATGATAGCTGAGTAAGGGTGTCGTTGATCAGAAAATCAATACATGCTTCTGATAGAAGAATCATTTAGGAAGGACATGAGTGCCTTCAAAAGGTACATAGTCACATAAAAATGTTTTTAATTATTTTTTATTTAAAGATGGGTAGGCGACTTAGATCCTTCAGGATTTTTCAGTATACAGATATGGATAATAAACTGCACATTGCTAGAAAACAAAGAAATATTGACGTTAAATACATTAATTATGTAATACAAATAGACAGGAAATACGAGGAAAAAAAATTGGAAAAACATTGATTTAAAAATTTTAATCTGCTTACCAATAACAACAAAATATCGCAAAATATTTGTACAAAACATTAATATTATTTTATGATTCTTAAAGCATGAATAACATTGAAAATTGTAAATGCACATATTCATTTACCAGTCAAAGAGTGTTTATAAAAAAATATATATAATATATATATATACGAAGGTTGTGTTTCTGCTAGAACTTTTTTTTGTTTGTCTTTGTTTTGAAAAGTTTTTAAAACATGTATTTGTCAAATGCATTATTTTTTAAAATACCAACTTACAGCAGTGTGTATGTGTGTATTAACTGGAATGGAAGTATGGAATCATTTACATCAGCAAAAGAATGTTTTATTATGTCAATTTAAGGGGAATCACTAATGGTAAGTCAATGATATTTGGTATGCAGAAGTATTAGCACTAGCAAATCTCATATCCAAAAAACATAAAACTTTATATTTATTTTTTATTTTTTTCTGAAAACAGAAAAAATAAGGTCAATCAGTCCGTAACCCAACAAATTAAAAAACCATTGGCCTTATATGTATTGTTCTATATTTTCGGATGAAAGTAAATCCAGAAAAGTGCTTTGGACACATGAAATTCTTAAAGAGTTGTTTCATTTTTGATATTTTTATTTGATCTTTTTCTGAAAAAGGAAAGAATGGTCAGTGGGTCATAACCCAACAAATTAAAAAACCATTGGCTTTATCTATCGTTATATATTTCAATTATAATGGTTATTTCTGCTAATCTTCCTTTTAAAAAATAACATTATATGATTATTATTTAACAGTACATTATTTTTTTTACTCAAAAGCATCACTCTCAACATATAACAATATCAAATATATGACAAGAGTGATTAGAAATAAAATTTTGTGAGATCATTTGAAATTTGTACTGTTTATTCTTTTCTCACACAGTGTAATGCAAGCAGGTAATGTAAAAATATGCTAAAATCAAAAATCTTGGCGAGGAAGAACTTTGTGATTTTTTCACTTACCTATGTTTGCTTATTACAAAATTTTCATGTGAAGTGATTCCTTGATTAAACACTAATACATTTTGTGTATTGGCAAGGGTGAATTGTGAGACCAAATGTACAGTGTTAGGTTGAAGTCCGTAAATATTTTTCCCTGTATTGTATATTTTTGTCTTTGTAACATGCTGTATGTACATCAATGTTCCAACAATTCTACCTCCTTTTCAATGTGGGCATACTATACTGTTTACCACAGAGATTAACAACAACAATATTCTCTTACACACCAATTCTGAAATAAATTATTAATTGAGGTTTCTATTTAACCCCATGCTTGCACGGAACTGTACTCCAATGTTCACAATATAGATACACATTTTCAATACCTACCACTTTTTTTAAATACCAGTAATGACCCATCAAGACTTGAAATTGAGCATATATTCACCCAGTTATAAAAAAGAATTTAAATGCTTTAATTCTCTTCAACTTTTGAATGTTAAAGCATATTCCAGAATAAAAAAGTTGAACTAGTGTAAAATATCCAAATAAAAACATTGGTCAAAGTAAAATATAGATGCTCTTTTAAGGCTGTTCAGCGACCTGTAATTGGTGACTTCTTTATCCTTTGGTAGTTAAAGAATGGTGTCATTAGCAATCCTCCCACTTTTACTGATTCTTTTATTTTTTCATGTCCTTTGGTTTTATTGTTTTGTTGGGTTGTCTCCCTTTAATGGCTTTATTCATGTAATATAAGCTGGAGCTATCAGTTTAAAAGTAAAATTATAGTATGCTATTATATTTCCTTTGCTTTTTAGTTCAACATGCATTTATTTCATTCACTGTAGTAAAATATTTTCCATTTAAAGTAAACACAAAATTAAAAACCAAGAACACCATCTTGAAATGATTATTTATTCATGACTGTCCTGATTTTACATTTATTGCTCTACATATGAATTAAACATTTATCATAACATATCATTACACATTTTTAGGATCATGTATTTGGTATCAAACAAAACGAAAAAGAACTCCTCAAGTGAAAGTTCTTTGGAATACCATTATTTTGAATATTTTCTGTGATTTAATTATTAATGTTGTGTTTATAAGTTATTTTATTAACATGATATTTTTTAAAATGCTTGACTGAAAGTGTAGAAGAAAATTCTTGCCCCATAAAGCATATTTTTTTGTTACACATCTTATCTACATTATAAAGTACAATATTTGTTTGAATCAATATGAAATTCCTGAAAAGAATTATAAAATTTTGAAGCATAATTTTTTTTTTTAAACCAAATGAAATTATTACATAATAAGGTGTAGGACAAGGGTGAAAATTAACATCTAGTTTGTTTGTTTTAGATATAAATGATTTTGCTATGATTAAAGGAATG